TGTCGGGGTGCCAAACTATGATGTGAAGTAATTATCGACTTCTGGTAGATATGGGTGTTAACATGCGAACGACTGGTGCGGCCACTAGTCGGCACAGCATTGTATCCATAAGATCGATGTATGGTGTTGAGCACAACAATGTATCCATAAAGTCTATGTATGGTGTTGAGCTACAAGGTGCCACTTTTTCGGGTAAACATGAGTCAGAATAGCACAGCAGGGTTATCCAAGCTACAACTAAGGCAAGGTTTATCTGAGGCTGGGCGTGGGTTCGCTAATTATATCGATGAACGGCAAATTCAAACCTGTCGGTAGGTTAGCATCCTCTCGACCATGAAGTTGAGATATCAGGGTCAGTATCCTTGAGTTGAGTCTTAGGGCTGGCACTATGGACATCCGTATGTTATCCGGGCTATTGTCAGGGTCGACGGGTCACCATTGGGGCCCATGTACCTACCTTTCTGGGTGCTGCTTAGCTAACAATAGTAGAGGCCCCACTGTCGTGCTTTAGGCTGGTACCAGGTGGGAAGGTGCCCGATCAGCCCTGACTGTACCAACCCAACTTCCCCAGTGGCACTGTTTGTTGACGCTTTTCTTTGTTTGGTTTGCATTGTTAAACCAACTTGTAGCAAAAAGGGAACCTAGAGGCAGTGCTATGAGCAACATGAACACAGTATAAAAAGGATTCTGACTAGTGGTCTGTGATGAAAGCAATCGTTACTCGTCGTGACTCGTGGTAGGCGCTTGCGGAGCCGATTCAACTTGAATCGGCCCGATTCAAGTTGAATCGGGCCCTGCTCGATGCTATGCCAAACGACAAACCACCATTTGCCGTTTTTGAAACATCAGCGGCCAGATCACATCGCTTATTTATGTTGATATATGTCACAGAAACATGTCATTCATTTCATCTACGAAATGCATGCTTTTCGAAATAAGCACAATTAGGCTTAGGCTGTACTCTCATGTTTTAACTTGTCATACGATGTATCTTTAATGTACAAATGCCACCTGTTATCGAGAAAAACTACTTCATCAATAAATCAAGATCTTCCAGACAATAAGAGTCGTTTTAATGATCGCTACATCAAAACAGAGATTCGACGCATAACGACTTGTTCAAAATAGTTTGTTTTTCGCAAAATTACTGACTCGAAAACCATAGTAACAAAAGCTCTGGAATATCCCATGTAAAGGTGAAGCTAATCTTTCACACCAGCACTTCAACAACCATGTAAACCGAATCCTTTGGATATGAATATCCGATGTGCGAATGAACTCCAAGTTCTTGCAGCCTCGAAGTATATGTCCGTACGAATGCCTCATATCACATATAAAGGATGTACTACGAAAAACATAATAATCTGGGTTTATCCCTTTCGCTCCGAGAACGCATATACTTACACCATAGAAATCATCATCGGCCTATACCCGCATAACAGGAGAAGTGAGTTGTAGAAGAAGCTATTTGCTCTTCAACGCACAAGTATCGTTCGGCAGGCCGTTTGCCTTCGTAATCAACCCCCACTCTGAAGCGCTTTTGAACCCCCAACCATGTTGACAAAAAACAACATCGTGTAACACCCGCACTTCTAAGTTCTTAACCGTGGTGCTAAATCAACGTCCGATGTTCCTTAGGTTCTTTTGCAGAAGGGCATTGTTCACTTCGTGTGAAAACTGGTTCCACGGGTGTCAGTTTGTAGCACAAGTACCGCAGAACATTTTGCCCTTGAGGAATGCGAACAAGCTACACAGTCGCCGGCTTTTCTGTCAAATTGCAATGCCTGAGGGTAGATATCGACTTGACAGGATGCACAAGAACCAATGCAGTCCTTTGGCATCTTGAGGAACACAACTGAGCAGAAAAGTGAGCATGGGTCATCACCCACTTCTCCCCCAATTGTGCACCGATGAAGATCACAAATCCATCTCCGCATGCGCAGGCAGTAAGCAAACATAGCCACGGTGAAGCCGGACAAACTAAACCTTACACCCAGAGTGCTAGTGCAAACGTGCATTCTGCAGCCTGTGGATCTGAGATGGACAGCAGCAATCTCTCTGCGATTCCAAGCTGGGACTTCACTGACACGTGCCATCTGCACTTGAAGGTTCACGGGTGGACCCGAAACCCTAAACCCAGGAGACTCAATACTACTCAAGGTACAAGGGATTCCGCTCTATATCTATAAGAAGAATGATTTCTCGTTGAAAATGATCTAATTTGTCGTAATAGCCTGTATACCTTAGAATAGATTTAAATCATTACCGATCTTCGGTTCAAACCTAAATTAGTTGAATCTCGAAATATCCCTAGGCCCTACGACTATCCTATGAAATCAAAAATGATGAATCACGTGGATTATATCCATTCAATTCATGCGTATATGCGTGCCGGATATGTCGGAGAACTTCCTATACATTAGACCATCGAAGTTCTCATCAGCATATTCCAGATGAAAGGACAAGCGAGCTTCAAGAAGTTATGTGCTCTTCAACATTCTTCAACTCTCTGCCATATACGTTCAAGGTACCGGAAGACTTGACAAAGCGAAAACGAGTAACAGCAGAACTTCTGCACATTTAATAGTATCGCTAACAATCAACTTCTGATGTCCTGTAGGTTATTTTGTCCAAGAGCATTTTTGCACTTCCATGTCACGCCTGTGCAGAACTGATGCCAATATTGTCAATATGGTGCAGAAGGACCGCAGACGGTACTGAGGACAACGGACAAGATACATAGTCGCCGGCCTTCCGTCAAATTGCAAGACCTGAGTATTGAAATACTTCGGCGCATGTACCAACTTGCAAGGATGCACAAGAACCAATGCAGTCCTCTGGCATTTCAGGAACACAACTGAGTAGAAAAGTGAGCATGGGTCATCACCCACTTCTCCCCCAATTGTGCACCGATGAAGATCACAAGTCCATCTCCGCATGCGCAGGCAGTGAACAAACATAGCCACGGTGAAGCCGGACAAACTAAACCTTACACCCAGAGTGCTAGTGCGAACGTGCATTCTGCAGCCTGTGGATCTGAGATGGACAGCAGCAATCTCTCTGCGATTCCAAGCTGGGACTTCACTGACACGTGCCATCTGCACTTGAAGGTTCACGGGTGGACCCGAAACCCTAAACCCAGGAGACTCAATACTACTCAAGGTACAGGGGATTCCCTGCACCTGCTTCATTATTGCAGCTCCCGACACCCCTCAATTCACTTGGCAAGAACTTCGCATCTTAAACTTAAGCTTTCAGGCTTAGGGCATAGGGTTCAGCATTTTTGGTTCAAGGTCCAAGGGGCAGGCTGCAAGCCAAGAAAGGCACCCCCAAAACTGCAGTCCAAAGTTCTGAAGTACTGCAAAGGTAATCTTTTCAATGTGAGAACCTCAACTTCAGTCGAATCATACAACAGCTGAACGAAGATACTAGTACTTAGGGTTCAAAACTCTTTGTAGCTAGCTGAATCAGCTAGATGGGGATTCAAGTGAGAGTCCCGGGCCTTTCGGGTTCAGGGTTAAACCTGATGTGATCCCATCCCATTTCGCTGTTTAGGCTGGGGGGCTGCACCGCGTGATGCTCTGAATTGTGGCTTTGTGGTTTCGGTCTGCGATAGATCAGAGCTATAAACCCCGGATATCTAAACTGGACCTTGATGATCCCAAACCCCAATAAGGGACCCTAATATACTACCGTAAATAGCCAGGAGTAGGATCCTTATCTCAAATAAGGTACCCCGAACCTTCCTGCGTACCAGCAAGTAGAGCACCACAAGCTTTTGCTCAGGATCTGCCTCTGGGTTTCGCGAACTTTGGGGTTCCTCATTATACGCATAGGCCCCAAAGTAGTTCCTTTTTGCGGTTACCCTATAGGCTTCTGAATATGAACCCCAAAAAGGAACTACTATGGGGTTCCTCATGATAGTTATACTCTAATCTACCCCAAAAGCATTTTCTAGCTATGAGGCCCCCCATATTACCGCGAGTTCTGACACTAGCTCATGTCAAGCTGGCGATGCTCAGTTAGATAAGGCCGCGACTAGATAAAATGGAAAAAAGAGGATCCAAAGAGAGCCCGGAAAGGAAAAACAGGGTCCCAGGAGATTGGAGAGCTCACGGTTGAAGGTTTAGTGCTGTTTCTTTGGGCTTTAGGGATTTAAGTTCCTTGGGGACTTAGGTTTTAGGTCTAGTTGCTTGTCTTTTTGGTGGGAGGGGTGGGGTTAGGGTCTGGGGTTCATACTTCTCAATCGCAAGCTCAAGGATCCCTCAGATGCTGCACAGGGCTCCTTTCTTCAAAGGGTTCGGGGGATTCCTTTAGGATACTAGAGCCTACTATACACGGTTCAGTCTTACTTGAAGCGCATCCTAATCTTAGTTGTTGGGTTCATAACCCCAACAAGTGTACACCTTCAGGTTTAGAGTGGGTAATATTATCCCAAAAAGGTGTAAAGTGTATCCACTCAGCTACTTCATGGTCCGGGTTCAAGGTACCCTAAACCCTAAACGGACTGTGCGGAGCCGTATCCACTCAGCTACTAAGCAATCTGAAGTCTGAAGACATGAAAAAAGGGCTCGAGGCTTCGATCCTCCGGGCAGAGCGGCTTCTGCTCTCTGAGCAAATTATTCATATACCATTATTCCATAGTTGAGGGTCCTTAAGGTAATGCAGGATTTATATCATCAACAGTAGGGGCCTTCATCATCGGACCAGCTTTGGGGGCCCCATAGTAGTTCCTTTTGGGGGTTCATACTTAGAATCCTATAAGGTAAACCCAAAAAGGAACTACTTTGGGGCCTATGGGTAATACTATAGTGCACAATAAGGAATGGTACTGGTAATCGTTTAGGCCCCTACATTATGGTTCTTACAAGTGCGGTTGGCCGCTTCCGCGCCACAGCCCAACGTCTCTCACCAACAAGCCGCTTCTTTTCAAGAGCCTGCTGTCTAACCATATTCTGTAAGCGAGGAGAACTTGCGGATACCTACTAGCGCTCTTCGACTCACCTCGCCGGCGTGGTTTTGCGATTTTTCCAACGGCGGACAGTCTTGGGCTTCGAGGGGAGGTTCTGCAGGCACTTTCGCAACTGGGCGACATGCTTCTCTGTCCTCGGTTGCTGACTTAAGCTTGAACTTGTGCTCGTCATGCACGGGTATGAACACAAGCAAGGGTATCCCCTCGTAAGGTCTCCCGCATGCAAGCAGCAAGGATTTGGTGTCGATCAGCAGCCGACGGATGTCCATTCCGACATGCGGTGCACGGTCCCCAATGCATTTAGCTACGGTACCTCGAATAAAGCAAGCAAACAACGGCGAGGCACCGAGCCAGGTTCCCGAACGGTGACGCGGAATGCGAAGAGCTGTATCCGAAACTAAGAGGGTACAACACGACAGGAATGTTCATCTCTCCTGCAATCACGGTTTGTAGGATCGCCAGTTTTACATATCATGTGTCGGCCAACAAACTATCTCAAAATCCAAAGCCCACTGGTATACTGTACCAACCTGAAACTCGCCGAAGAGCAACAGCCGATGCTGCAAGTCGAGGATGCGTGTGGCTCGCAGCAGCTGCTCAAAGCAGCTGCGATGGCTAGACCAGTAGGCGGCGACATCCTGAAACTGTCAGGAGTTATGGTGTTTAGGTGCAGGGATTTGGGTTTAGGAGTTTAGGATGACAATCAGCAGGTAGTATGGGGAATAGGGTTGAGGGCTCTGGGTTTAGGCATTAGGAGTTTAGGCTGCAGCCGGGAAGATTTTCGGCTAGAGACTGTCAGATAGGAGTAGGATCGAGACTTAGACTCTTGCTGTTGTGCATCATGCGGATCTTCTGCATGGAAGTAAAGATGAGAAATACAATGGCGTTAATTTTTCCCTCCTACCTAGCAAGGACAAAGCCCGCAATGCAGGATTGCGGTTGAGGGAACTCCTGGTTGCTGAGTTCATAAGCCCCCCAAAGTGTACACTTTCAGTTGAATAGTGGGTAATATTATCCCCCAAAATGTAAAGTGTATCCATCAGCTACTAAGATTTCATGGTCTGGGTTCAGGGTCCCCTAGACCCTAAACAGACTGTGCGCAGCCTATGCAGGCGAGACTTCCAGGAACAAGGCTTTACAGTGAAGCCTGGCCTGGGAGTGGAGTTTGCATTACTCCCTTACCTCGTCCCCCCAAGAGTAGGTAAAATAATGGCCCCAAACCTATAAACGGCTATTATTCTACATATTGTTGGCAGTCCTCCCGCAAAATAACACAGGAAGCTCATTGCCAAGAGCCCAGGGTTTTAAAGTTGAAACTATAGGACCGGCTGTGTAGGGCTGGAGCTTCTGGCGGCCCGCATTGCAGACTCAAGATTAGATCACCGAGCTTTGGGAATCAAGCGAACAGACGCAAGTGCCCAAGAAAACATATGGGAGCTTCCGAAAGTAGGGGACCCTAATATGGTACCCTAAATAGTAGGATCCTTCTTATAAGGACCCCAAAATATGGTACCCCTAATTTTCGGAAACTCCCATATACCGAAAAACGAACACTACCTGCACAGTCGAGCGTGCTCTCTCGGACTTAGGCCCCTGGTCTCTGCGCGGCCTAAGCTGCAAGTACCTTTTGGCCAAGAGTGCCCGCATCTGAACCCGTAAACTCAAGAGTCCTCGATCCCAGCTGCTAACATGACTCGCAAGAACCGTTCGTTCTCCAGGACCCTCCTTGTACCCTCAAACAGGGGTATATGATCCCAAATAATGGGTACTTGGGGTCTAAATAGAGGGTAGATGGAGGGTCTAGGTAGGGTTCCTTTAAAGGGGTTACTATAAGGGATTTATAGAATAGGGTTCCTTTAAAGGGATCCTTTAAGGGCTCATGTCCTGCTCCAGACCATCCTGCACCCGCTGCTGCTCATGGCTTTGGCGGAACTCGGTGGCAAGCACCTGCAACAGCAGGCAGGTTCATGTCAGTGCGTCCTCCTGCGCACGCCTGCACCTGATGTGCCTGCGAGCCCACATGCAGGGGAGACACAAGTTTTTTTGCACAGCCTGTGCAAAGGCAAACCTCCCAGGCAAGAGGCTCCGAGGACTGTTTTCTTCAGACCCTTATGAGTACAGCGCCAACCCTGACGCGCCTGCATCTCATCCAAGAGCTCCTGGACTTGCATGGATGCGTCCTTCTCCTCCTGCGATCCGGCTCGATGTCCGACCTCCTGGCGGAGCGCGTTCAACCTGGCCTCCTCCTGACATTTGGCGAGGACGGGCACCACGGAGCGAAGGTAGATCTTTCGTTCTTGAAGTGACGCCTGCTCACGCGCGAGCCATGCTAAGGAGCTTCGCACAAGCACATCTCGGGGCCCAGATGTGGCGGCAAGTCGAAGTCGGATGCGCCTCAGCGCGATCAGGAGCCCTAGGACCACGTGGAGAGGAAGGGCTTTGGCTTCCACTGCCAGAGGAGCAGCAGCCTCCAAATCACCCTCGAAGTGGTGCTCCTGGTTCGTGTCGTTGCTGGCATCCGTGTTGAGAACGAAGCCACCCTGGTGGTCGGAGTCTTCCGGTGGAGAGATCTCTGATTCTTGCGGAGACTTCACCACAGAGAAGCCGGAGAAGTCGCATCCCTCCTGCCCTGGCGCGAAAACGATGACCCGTCGGACTGGCGGATGGGACACTGAAACCCAACCAGGCCTCCAACTCTCGTCTGTCTCCTCCCAAATAGGGCCTTCGGGCGTACAGTTGAGGCAGGCATAGAGCTTCGGCAAGTTCTCCTTCAAAGAAAACATGTGAAGCACAAGCGAACATCAGCGCAAGCGCATATATATGCTGACTTTAAGGACTACGTTGACCACCTGCAGCAACCACTGCTTGCACATTTTTGTAGACGGATGAATCCCTTGCAGTTTTTGCGTATGTCTTCAAACCTGTTCGGCTCCTCCTTGACAAACTCCTCCCGATGGAACTCGAAGTGGCGCTGCCCGTATGTCCAACTAGGTGGCGAGTCGCTACAAGCTTCCCGGTGTAGGATGACAAGGGGGTTATTCAAGTCGCTGAGCACTGAATGGACCCATGGAGTCATGCGGTCAAACTTGCGTCCAGTGGTTGCAGCTTCATCCCTGGGCGGTCCAGCAACCAGCCACTGAAGCTTCTTGGGAAACGACCCGGCGCAAAGGTCGTGAGAACCTCCGTTCATCAACCGCAATCTATCCTCAAAGCCAATCCAGCGAATTGCAGAGCAAACGTTGGTGTTGCGCTGGTGCCGCAGCCAATTGATGGTGCCCGAGCTGAAAATGAGTATGAACAGCCGTAGACAATAACTGGCGCCATGCTGCGCATCAGGAACTGTAGCTTCCACCCAGTTCTGGAAGTGGTCCGAGTGCTTGAGGAAGTTAGCAGCAGCGTCTGCGAAGGTCCGCAAGGCAACAATGACTTTCTGTCTTCTGCCTGGCAGCCGGAACCGTTGACAGGTGAGTGTTGCGAACTGTCACGCAAGTATACAGGCAAAGCACAAAAGCTTATTGCAGGTCGGGAGTTGAAATTACGGGTCTCCTTGTGGAAGCTCGTTCCGTGCCGCCAGGCCGGCAAGGTGTGGATAATGGCTCAGATGCATTCGCACATAGCTCTCTGGCAGAGTGGTGTTGCTCATTCGGGTTAGGAGCACATTTGCCCAAACCACTCCTTGCTCAAGCAGGTGACACACCACTTCCGGGCAGTATGGGTAGCGTTCGCCTGTTCGGAGATTCCTCCACGAAGTTGCCAAGTGCTGAACCACCTCACAGGTCATCTCGAAGAAATTCAAGAGATCGTCATACGTCGGTCTTTTCGTCTCCTGAAGCTGTCCTCTGGCTGGGTTCTCCGCCTGCAAAGTCTCCATGATCGACAGCATCTTGCTGGCCAGTGCCCATGCTGTGTCCTTCTGCACTTGCTGTCGAAGGGATGGTAGGCCGTGGAAGTCCACTAAGGGGCACAGCACCAAAGGTGCCTTTAGAACATCTTCGACGCCCAACCAGTGTGATCGTAGTCGTGCACGGACGGCGCGAAGAAGTTCGTCGATTCGCCTCTGAAGAAGTGACTCTCGTGCAGCCTGCGCAGCTGCCCCAGCCTGTGAATCGGGTGAAAGCCACGCCATGCTGTGCCAGTAGGGAAGGCAAGAACGGTAGAGCTCCTCTTCACACGACGCAAGGCACGGAAGCACTTTGCTGATCACGTCCTCTCTGCGAAGTGACCTGCAAGCAGCTGCAACCTCCGAGCTTCCCACGAGGCGCCTGGCCGTTTCAAGATACTTCGAAGCGAATCGCACTGCTGCAGCGAAGGCATCCCCCTCCATCCGGCCCCAGGAGTGAGCCCGGGAGCAGCCGTCATTACTGCATTGGCCGTGCATCAGCTGGCTCCAACAGGGAGTGGTTGATCTCAGGAGCTGCTTGCAATATTGAAGTTGCAGGCCACACAAGCAAGTCCGAAGTATGTGGAGGATCCGCTGTGCCAGCAAGAAGATGGCACTCCTATCCATGCTCCGTTCCTCGTCGGATGCAAACTCTGACAGCACCAGAAAGCCTGGAGACAGGGATGGAAGCTCAGCCAAGAGCAGCTCCTTGACAAACGGCTCCAGCCACGGCTCCTCTGCGCCCCTAGCGACAGGGAGCAACGGTTGAGTTCTGTTTTTGGAGTCTACTCCAACCCATATCCCCTTTAGTGCATTAGGCCGGCCTGTATGACAAGGATCGTTCCAAGGCCGCCAAGACTTCCAAGATCTTGTCGTTCAGATGGCCCAGCCACTGGACAACATTCAACTCGCGGAAGTTCACGAAATCCTGCTTGGCGGCCGCCGCAACCGCGGCAACTTGCAAGCGCAGCGCGTGCCCTGCGAGGCGTGCATGGACAGGCAGGTCCTCGCACAGTCGCACATATGAACGCCTAAAAGCGCATCTGACACAATGCCTGGTTGAACCTGGAGTAACCTTAGTAGTGCCGGGTCCTTCCTGTTCATGATCAACATGGACGCACAAGGGTATACTGCAAAGGACAACAGTTCGGGCCCCAAGCGAAGTCCTGAGTCGGAAATAAGACGAGTCCGAATGGGAATAAACAAAGCCACCAGGTGCAATGCGACGAGGAAAACAGCAAGTTAAATTACCAGGACCCTCCTAGTACCCTCAAATAGGGGTATATGGTCCCAAATAATGGGTACTTAGGGTCTAATAGAGGGTAGATGGCGGGTCTAGGTACAGTTTGAAGACTAGTCGTCACAGCATGAGCTGTTTCGGCCGCTCGACTCCTAAACATCGTGACGAATCCAAGCAAGGCGAGCAAGATCAAACGCAGCAACCACTTCAGGAGCAACTCGACGAACAGCAACGCGCGAGATCTGATCTGATGCGAAACTTCTTGGGCAGAGTCGGGCAGAGCCGTGGTGGATGGAGAAGTATCAAGACAAGCACACAGCACCATCTTTATTTGGCAGCAGTAACTATGACTCGCAGAAGAAGCAAGGCAATGCAGGAGTCGCATCTACATCCGCTGGCCCCATGTGAACTCAGGTCCGGGTCCGTTCGAATCGCAAGCCCCCCTCGTAGACATCCGAAAGTATATCCGCAGCCAAAGAAACACGATTCCAACCACTTCCGACCAAAACCCTACCTGGACCCCCAAAAGTAGGAAACAAAAGGACCCAAAACCTATTAAAAAAAGCTAGTATTCTACATACTTTTGGGGTCCAGGTTTAGGCCCTTTTTTCCACAGGCTTGATTAGTGCTCGCCCGGCCAGAATCCCCAAACACTAAACCTAAACCCTAAACCGTAGTTGTCGGCATCCGGTCCCAGGACTCCCAGAAGTCACGCAGCCAGGCACTTCCCGGAGCTTCGATGTTCTCTGCCAGGCCTCGTAGAGCCTCCACCAGAAGCCTGACGAATTGGAATTTAAGGGCTTTTAGGGCGCTTAGGGTTCAGAGTTTGGGTCTGAGTGCTTGAGGGAACTGTCTCAAAGCCCTGAATGAACTAATGTCGTGCGATTTCTGTGGGTTTCAAAGCTTTCTGATCATGCATTCTATCTGGAGGGAACGTTACCTGCGACTCGAATCACACTGTCTGGACCCTACACCCATGCCCTTGTTGCATCCAGGCCTCTTCAACACCCTGAACCCCGAAATTATTCGAACTATCAACATTCAAGCGAGACCTATCGCCCCTGCCTTTCGTCTCCAGCCAAGACTTCTCGCTCCTCCACGGTTTGGGGTATTACTTCTGATTCCAAGAAGCTTCGTTCGATCGGCATCTGCGGAGGCTTTGGCCCGACACGTCGCACTCGAGTATAATCAGAAGAGGGCCTTGGGGTGTAGTATACTATAACTATAACTATAACAAGGAAGCTTCAAAATAGTACCATGGAAGGTGAGGGTCTTGGGGGTGTAGAATACTATAACTATAACTATAACTAGGAAGCTCCAAAATAGTACCATGGAAGAAGACTCGGTGAGCCTTATATTGGCCGTGGGTGTCAAACCCTACTGGCCCGAGAAGTCTACGCTCGAGGGATCAATGCCAGAATGCAGGATTCTTATCAGCGGGCCTTCGGCAGTCTTGGTGGGGGGATCAATGCCAGAATGCAGGATTCTTATCAGCGGGCCTTCGGCAGTCTTGGTGGGGATAAAACAACCCTACCTGTTTGGGGTTCCTTATTTTGGTGTCCTTACATAAGTCCTTAAAACATCGGTTGGTTACTTAGGTAGTTTATGTATGGGCATAGTGGCGTTCAGAATGTTAAGGCTTCTGGAATGAAGGCCTCCAAGGCTTCATCAAACTGCAAACCTGGTGCCCCAAAGGGCTGAGGTGCCATTCCCACAAAAAGGAGAGGTTTCAAGGTTGTGTCTGCGATTTGGTTCCGAAGGAAATCCTGATTGTCTGATCTGTGGGCTTCAAAGCCCCAAACCCAATAATGGTAAAGTCTATAGAGTCTCGCCCCTCCAAGGACAGACCTCGAACCCGACTCTTCATGTGACAGCACCGAGTAACCCTCGCCGATTTGAAAAGCATCGAAATCCGAGCCTGCTGGAGCCGGACCCAGCACTCTCTGCGCGTGAAGCTTCCGATCCGCTGCGAGGATGAAGAGCTTGGCGTGATGCCGATCGACCTGCCGCTTAGTTGCAGAATTCATGAAGTCCCTATAGAAGTGTATCTATAGGGGATCATCTTATCGCAAGCCAGTGTAAAGTGCACTCATTCAGCTACTACTTACTACGGCCAGCGCAACGGCTCGGTTCAAGGTCTTTCAGTTTAGGATCGGGCTTTAGGGCTTCAGGCGGTTCGAGGTCGGGGCCTTAGCTCTTCAAGCTCGGTGACACGAACCAGCAGCCCTGATGGGCAGAAGTTGCCCTGCTGTGGGAGGCTGTTGTGGGGTTTTATTAAAGAGTACAGCATAACGAACCATTACAAAAAGGTCGTGCCCAGCAGGAATCACGCAGAGGCCCGCGGCTAAAGCTTGAGAGGTGGATTGGCCCTGTTTCTGTGTCAACTGTTTGCAGCCCCCTCCACACTGAAGCAATCAGGGCTATCGTGGGGGTATTGAACAAGATCTGTGGAGCCCGACCATAAACATTACCTTACCTTGATGATCTACTACATGACCCTGCATGCCAACACCCGAGGATCCCATATCTGAGAATTACTCCTTTAGCTGGCCCTTATGGGCAGGGTTCCTTTAAGGGTCCCTTTATGGGGAGCCGTTAAGGGTATCAGAGCTACACGTCAGACGCATCACGCAGAAAGGGTTGACCAACAGTCCCTCTCGCCCCCAAATGGGATGGGGATGCAACGACATGCCGCAATCGCCCTAAGCCAAACAATCCTAACACTTTTGCACACCATGCCCAAAAACCTTGCAGCCTAACGACCAGAACCTATAGCCCGACAGCCCCGAGCAGCCTCAAACATCCCAGCAGAAGAGCAGCATGCGACGTGTTCCCGGCAAGGCGTTCGAACTCCTGTTGTGCGGTGTTGGGTCACCCTCGTCATAGGCTTGCCTTGTTCTGGGTTGGGTATGCGGGACCGGGGGTTGTTGGCCTTAGGACAGCTCATGTCTTGCTGACCAGCTTTACATTCGTAGCCTGAAGATTACTATCATTTACTCGGCCGCGCACCTTTGCCTCAATTACCTCGCTACCGGTAGTTCTTACAGGCCCTCGAGATTTGCAAACCCGTCCGGCAGTCTAAAATCTGGCGACCAACAGGTGCCGAAATACAAAGGTGACCAGCAGTTCTCTATAGCCTTCTCACGGTTCTTGCATGAGTGTCGTGACTACAATGTACCTTGCTTCATATCTCTCCGAGGCCTTCCCTCGACCTGCTCCTGGAACCTGAGCACTCCGGCCCGAAAGAATTGAATCCTAAACCATACTCAGTGCCATACTCTGATTCGCAGGCTCTGCTCCACCCTAACCCCTTAAACCCTGAACCCTGCATACTAAAACAAAAGCTAGGTTTAGGGTTTAGGGTTCAGCTACGCAAACCCCAAGCCCCGAAAGACTAAGCAGCGGACCGTTAGCCCCCAGAGCCCTGAAGCAAAGCCCCAGCAACCACCCGACTATCACGGAGACCGGTAGATGCTAGAATTATTGAAGCATTGAACCCGAAAAAAAAAACTTTGAAACCCTGAACCACCAAAACCCGGAGATGTAAAATCAAAAACGCACCCAGAAACTCCGAAACCGGTGTACACAAAAGCACGAAAGCCTACACCCCTACGCCCCAAACCCTTGTTACTAAACCACCAACCCTAAAGACCTAAAGCCATACCCATTCGTGAACCCTGAAAAAGTCTAAAAGCAACTGCTATTGTAAACCTTGCGTCTTTTCACAAAGTTCCTGGATCAAATGACCTACCCGTTTAGGAGTATAAATGGTATGAAATTTGGTGTTAAGGCTGACATGCTTCCGCCCCTGCCATTTATCCCTGAACCCTACAACCTCAAGACCACGGAGGAAATACAAAAAAAACACTACGATTCATAATATGACATAACTACCGAAAGGCCCCAAAGTAGTTCCTTTTTGGGGTTCGTATTTGGAATTCTATAAGGTAATCCCAGAAAGGAACTACTCTGGGGCCTTTGGGTACCGAAAAGAAGCACGAACAAGGCCGATAGTTATATAAGGGTTCCTTTAAGGGCCCCTTTAAAGGGATCTATAGGGATTCTATAAGGGTATAGGGTTTAGGGCCTACTTGGAGGGCGTCCTGGGCCTTGATCCAGTCCATCTTCTCCAAGCACAGAGCTCGGCACTCCACATAACGACCCTGCTGCGCTAAGACCTCCACCTTGCAGGGTCTTCAGGGGTTTGGGTTTTAGGGTTAGGGTTTTCGGGTTTAGGGATTAGTTAGGGTTCACGGTTTAGGCTTTTAGGGTTTTGGGTTTAAGGTCTAGGGTGGGGTAGGTCTTGTGGGGTTTTACATGTTTTTAGGGGCTGGAGGTTTTCGGGTGTGAGGGCTTTCGAGTTCAATCCTGGCTGATGCTTCTGGGCTTATAGGGAACCGTGAAAGGACCGTTAAAGGGGTAAGGTTAAAAACCGAACTCGGGTACCTACGGTGAAGGGTTTAGGGAGACTCCATGTAGCCGGAGTATACCGTAATCAAGCCATATGTCAGTTTCTCCATATCCCAGTCCTCAGTTGCTATTCCTAGCTGGGTACTGCCCCATCCTGAAACAGTCTGTATTAGTGGTCATATTAAGGGCTACAGATATTGATGGTTTGCTCACGGCCCCCTCAACAATAGCCGAAACCCTCACATCCGAAAGTCTCACTTATCCGGTTTTGCAAAGAACAGCCTACGTCCTCCTCAGTACAGTACCCTACACAGTAGGATCCCCAATATAAGATAAGGTACCAAATCCTACTTGAAGGTTCATCTGTAGTTATAAGTGGGTGACCATATGTAACAACACATCATACGGGGTTTATAACGCCCCTTACAACTACCCTAACTAAACCCTAAACCCTAAATCCTTATAGAAGTTTTTGAAGGACTACCCAAAACAAAAATCTCAAAGTAAGCGACACCGTCGGGGCGCCTCCAGCCCCGGGACTCTGAGATTCCGGAGGAAGATGTCAAACTTGGGGCCGGTTCGCAAGAAGGACCTGGTTGAAGGGGTTTACTAGAGGGGCCTCAAGAATCACCAGGGTTCCTGTAAAGGGTTCCTTTAAGGGGATACTATGAGGGTTCAAGTTTGGGGCCGGCCTGCAAGAAGGACCTGGCTGAGGCGGCTTTGGGTTTTGGGGTTTAGGGGTTCGGGTGTAGGGGTTTAAGGGTGTAGGGGTTTAGGGGTTGAGGGTTTTCAGCAAGACGGACCTAGTTGAAGGGGTTTAGTTTATATATGGGGCTAAATAATTGCCTAATCTTGGGGAACTCCTCTAGTATAGTTATGGTATAATAGGCCCAAAACCCTTTTCCCTCTATTAGGGTTTTGGGGGTTCGGGTGTCGGGGTTTAGGGGTTTTCAGCACTCACAACTGGGACAAGCCGGACGAGGTTACTGGTACCGCAAACGAGGGTTTAGGGTTTTAGTGTTGAGGGGTTTAAGTTTCTTGCCTCCCATCTAGCTAGGACGAGCCCGCGTTTAGGGTAGAGGGATGGGGGTTTAGAGTTCCGACTTTGTTTTACGCAAATGTGGAGTGGACCTTTCCTCACATCAAAGCCCTGCTGATATTTGGCACGCAACATCCGGACCAAAGGTAAGCAGCATTCCTCTTCCGGTACTAGTACAGTAGTGTGAACTATGTTTCACTGCGGGTTAGATCAAACCTATGTGTAGATCCGGTGCTTTCGGGATGCGGCTTCTTGCAACCGGCTTCGTGCTACATCGTCTCAATTAATCAAGCCTGCGTGGGGATCTGATGCTTTTTTGGATGCCGCTGCTCGAAAATCGCTGTCAAGTCTGCTCTGTTTGCCTCCACATGATATGGGAGTTTCCGAAAAGAGGGGACCCTAATATAGTACCCTAAAGAACAGTATCCTCATTATAGGGACCCCAAAATAGGGTACCCCTAGTTTTCGGAACCCCCCATATGGTTGACCGCACCTGGTGTCGCAGTTCCGGAGCCGTGAGGCTTGGCAGGACAACTACACCTTCTCGACACCAGCACACAGAAACTCATAAGGGTGGTTGTCAAAATTATGGTCCCATTCTGGTCCTTATTATAATACGGCACCGAAATATAATATTTAGGGTACCCGAAAAGGGGCCATAATTTTGATAATTACTCATAAAGTCCAAGGAGCAGAATCTCTCTCGCATCCGCTCTGCGAGAGGCGACCGAGGCTGCCTGGACGTGTGCGCCTGTACCCAGGTCCTCCATGACAAAAGAGCTGGTTTAGGGTTCATGCAGGGTTCAGCAGCCCTAAACCCTAAACCGTTATGTTATCGCTCTATTTGTAGGAAGGCTGCGTGGATCAACATTTACCCTATGTACTCTTTTGGTGACCCCACGATCCCCCAGAGCGGCTATGGCTTTAGGCACTTACAAACCACCATTCAATATGTCAACATGGGAGTTTCCGAAAATAGGGGATCCCTAATCCTAATATCGCACCCTATAGGATCCTTATAAGGACCCCCAAAATAAGGTACCCTAGTTTACGGAAACTCCCATATTCCTGAGCCAGCTGTCTGAGGACATCTCGATGTAGCCTGTGGATCTCCTCATCGTCGCTTCCCGCTACGCGCAGACTCCTCGCCACACGGCGGTAGTCCTGAAAGCAATGTCCCCGGGCAAAAGCCTCCAAGGACTTCTTGTGCTGACCCGCTGCTTCCCAGGCACGACCTGCTTTCAGCCACCTCCTGGGTTCTTCTTAAGGGATTTAATCTAAGTCACCGGGTTCTTCTTAAGGGATTTAATCTATATAAGTCACCATGTACTTTTGGGTTTCCTCATTAAGGGAAACTCAAATAAAATCCGCAAACAAGAACCCAGGTTCTCTCGCGCTTCCCAGAGTTGCGCGGCCTCACTCCACCGGTGCTCCAGCTCGTACATCCGGGCAGCCAGTTCCAGCTCACCTCCATCCAAGAAGCAATCTGCAGCCCGCAAGCGGCATCGGCTCACGCCCAGCTCTTCCGGAAGTGCACCGAGTCCTCGTGGGATGGGGAGATTCGGTAACTCGGGCTTTGATGAAGAAAAAGACTATCACTATGTACATCTGACTCATCTGACCCCCCAATTGAAATCAAAACTTCTTCATGTATCACGTGTGTGTGTATGTATATGCACACATATCCATAAATGTTCATGCATACATACATACATACATACACACACCCATATGAGCCTTCACGTGATGCAGCCATTGCCTGAGCCAGGTCGGCAAAGGCCTTCCCCGCACACTGAAAGTCCCTTCTGGAGCGCTCCCCTTGCGTGTTGGAGGCGCTGCTTTGCAGCTGCATCGCCTGGGCATACCTTACTTGCCCAATCCTGCAAATAAATACTTCAACCAAAAACATGGACAACCAACCTCACAACAAGATCGGGAATCGGGTCGGGAATCGGGTCGGATCGATCGGAGCGGTGTCGGAACTGAACCTAAGCCTTTTTCTTCTTGAAGTCAAGCGCTTACACGCTCCACCAACAGGTAGGGCAGCGGCAGGGCAGGGCAAAAAAAAATTAGTGGCTGCCACTTACTCGCTTTTGCTTTGAGCAGGGCAGGGCAGGACAGCCACAAATTCGATATTGTGTTTGGGCCTGGCAGGGCCAGGGTCAGGCCAGGGCAGGGTCAGGGCAGGGCCGGCAGGCAAGGGCGGCAGGGCAAAGTGGCTGCCATTTGCTTTTGGGCAGGGCAGGGATACAAAACAGAACAGGGCAGGGCAGGCAAACGGCATGGATGCAGAAACGAATTAATGGCTGCCACTAACTCGTTTTTGCCTGTGGGCAGGGCAAGCAAAAACGAGCTCGTCTTTCCTGTGGGCAGGGCATGGCAGGGCAGGGCAGCAGGGCAAAATCGAATTAGTGGCTGCCACTAACTCGTTTTTGCTTTTGGGCAGGGCAGGCGCCAGGTAAAAACGAATTAGTGGCTGCCACTAACTTGTTTTTGCGCTTGGTTATGGAGGGCACGGGGGGGAGGTCAGGGCAAAAACGAAGTAGTGGCTGCCACTAACTCGCTTTTGCATTTTGGTAGGGCAGAGCAGGGCAGGGCAGGGCGGGAGGCCGCGTTAAAACGAAGTAGTGGCTGCCACTAACTCGTTTTTGCCTTTTCGTATTTCCGCAATAGTGTCTGACACTAATTCGATTTTGTGCTTTGCCCAGGAAAGCATTGCATTTCGTCAGTACAAAGTCTGATCCACCGAAATCGTGAAGCCTCGAGCAAATGACGCCGAAAGGATTCGAGCCAACGCAACTCCACATGAGCACCTTCGAGACAAACAAACCACCACTAAGCTACACACGGTTTGACCAATCATTGGTTTCAAATCGTGGCAGCCACTAACTCGTTTTTGCCTCCCGCCCTGCCCTGCCCTGCCCCGCCTGCCCAAAACCAAAATCGAGTTAGTGGCAGCCACTAACTCGCCCTGCCCCGCCTGCCCAAAACTAAAATCGAGTTAGTGGCAGCCACTAACTCGATGATGCCTCCCGCCCTGCCCTGCCCAGCCTGCCCAAAACCAAAATCGAGTTAGTGGCAGCCACTAACTCGCCTGCACAAAACCAAAATCGAGTTAGTGGCAGCCACTAACTCGTTTTTGCCCTGCCCTCTGTCCTCTGCCCTCTGCCCTGCCCTCTGCCCTCTGCCCTCTGCCCTCTGCCCTCTGCCCTCTGCTCCCCCTCTCCCCCTCTTGCCCTCTGCCCTCTGGCCTCTGCCCTCTGCCCTCTGCCCTCTGCCCTGCCTGCCCTGCCTGCCCAAAACCAAAATCGAGTTAGTGGCAGCCACTACCTCGTTTGTGCCTCCCGCCCTGCCCTGCCCAGCCTGCCCAAAAACCAAAATCGAGTTAGTGGCGTTCTTGCCTCCCGCCCTGCCCTGCCCTGCCCTGTCCCCCCTGCCCAGCCTGCCCTGCCCCTGCCCTGCCTGAATCGAGCTAGTAGCAGCCAACTCGTTTTTGCCTCCCTGGCCTGCCGTCCCCTCCCTCCACTCCCATCGCTGCTTCTGGACTGACGGTTAAGCCCTTACGGTCAGACCCACGGTGCTAGGTTCAATTCCGGGATCGGTAAATCGCAACAAGATCGCCGGGAATCGGGTCGGGTGGATCGGTATCGATCGGGTCGAATCGGGCAGGGCATGAAAAAGCTCACAGGTTCAGAATCATACCAACTATACATTGCTAACTTGTCATAGCAGACACAGATGTTATAAAGGTTGCCCAGAAAATCGCCCTAAACCCTAAACCCCAAACCGTTTGGAGAGCTGAGAAACAGCCTCCAAAACTCAGCAAGCGCGTGCCCACCGTCCCGTGCGCGGCTAAAGCATAGGATCGCCGGGTCGTAGCGCTGGCTGCCTAAGAGTACTTAAAGGCTCATGGGACTTAGTAAGGAAGGTTATAAGTAGGCTATAATTAGGATAACCCCACTTAGGGGACTTATAACCCCAATTATAACCTACTTACTAAGTCCCATGATCCTTCAAGTACGGTTGATGATATAAATCCTGCATTTCCCATAATCGGGAATATACCACAATTCCCACAGATTTAGGGTCCTTAAGGTAATGCAGGGTTTTGTCCATCAGCAGTCAGAATAAGATTGCTTTAAGGGCTCCGTTCGGGGTTCTTTTAGTGGCGTCTTTGACGGGTTCAACGTCTTTTGTTGGGGTTCTAGTAGAGGCTTTCTTTCGTATTGGAGCCTCAGAAACTAGAGTAGGGTTTGGGGGTGGCTGGGCTGGAGCTAGTGCCTCCAACAGCATTCACCAATAGATGACTCTGTGTCAAAATCAGGCAATCAACAAGTATCGCGAAGTGCCAGCTGGTTAGAGACGTCTGAGCAACAAGTGCTTGCTGCCATCTGGTGCCCTTTTGCTTCAGTGCTTAGGGTTCACCTGCGTGGAGGGAGCCCGCCCCTTCAAGTAGCTTGGAGGATTCAGGGGTTCAGGGTTCTGGTGCTTTTCGTGGGGGCAGCAGCCAGCATAAGCACTGTTGCGGTATCTAGCCGCTCAAGAGCGTCCGGCCCTGCTCGACAAACTCATCCGGCGTCGAAGTCTCTGCAAAGCCCTGCGCCATGCCAGGAGTTTGCTCTGCTTCTTGACGGCTCTTCCTGACTTGTTCTGTGCATCTTGCATAGCATTCCAAGATGCTTCTGGTAAGAATCTGTCTTGTCGTTTGAGACGAGGCTGGCAGTAAATTTCTTCAGACTCAGAAGTGAAAACAAGGCTCCTCACAACACTCAGCCAAGGCTCACCACACGCACCAGCTGTTTAGCATCCCAGAGACTCAACATGTTCGAACCAGCCTCTCGGTCTTCTTCGAAGATCCATACTCTCTGCCGCGCCCGTGTAACTGCGACATACCTGCATTCGTAGAAATCCGAAAAAGAGCACTGGCAGGCTCTACTCTAGGTTGCACTCTTCGCAAGACATGGGTGGTTGTCAACATTATGGTCCCTTGATATAATACGGCACCTCATATTTAGGGTACTTACCCAAAAAGGTACCATAACTTTGACAACTGCCCACATGTTCAAAGCTTTCTTGATTGCACCCAGATACAACGCTTTCAGCCACGAGCACAGCAAGCCATGGATAGAGGAGTCAAAGCCATTCCTAAGTCGCCACCGAACATGAAGAAGGTGGCGAACAGAATTCTTCGAAAACCCCACAGCCCAAAGTCTCAAAGAGTTGTACTTCTACAACCTTAACCCTGAAACCTTCAGGATTTGAGGTTTAATTTAAATTCCTCAACTCGAAACGGAACCCTTGAGGGTCAGGGCTTTGAGCCCTCATCTTGACACCGCAGCTGCTATGCAAGCAATGTGGCTGATCCCCGACGAACTTCCACAGGTTCTGCTGGCGGCGCAGCTGGACAGGTGCTTTATCGCCTGGGTTCCCCTGCGTCCCCTTCACAAGAATGTACCCGCCTTCCCATTCTTCAGCCCATTCAATAAAAAGTTTTGATACGCGAAACCTTAAACCACAAAGTAAAGTGGTACAGTACTGCTTGGATGCTTAGAAACTACTCAAAATCCTTCAACATTAGACCCACGACAAACAAAAAGCCTGAACACCACAAGAATCCATCAAACGAAAAAGCAAACCTAGTCGCTGGCAACCATCATGTCGCTGAAAGGGTTAGCCATGAGAACATCCTGGAACTCGAGACCTAGGCGGAGGTTGTCTTTTCCCACCCTCCCCGCTGACTAAGTCGGAGGGTTTAGAACTTCGGAAATCATCTTCTGGGCTGTGGATATCTCTCTGCGCGAGTTGAAGATTTGTTGGTGCGATAGCTGGCAACCTGTCGCAACATGTACATGTACACTATCGCCCAGAACGAGAAGACTCAACCTAAATGACACTACTGTGCCAGTGGTCTATGATCGTGAGAATGCTCCGTCTCGAGAGGGAAGAAGCACCATGCGGTAAATGCTGTCAAAACAACCACCACAACTCACATGTAGATTCAATGGGGGACACCTCCTACGACACTAAATCCTACATACGCACAACGTTAAATCCTACACCCGAAACCCCACTAAATGCTTGCTGCTGAGAAGACCCGATTGAAACCTCCAAGTGCCCCGGAACCCTAGCACCTTAGTCTTTATTACTCGTTACTGTTGGAACTATTATCGTTACTCTTGGTATGATTGTGGTTATTCTTGGCATAATTATAGCTATTCATGGTATTTTTTTGGCTTATTCTTGGTATTATTGCAGCTATTCTTGGTGTTATGATTATAATGATCACTACTTCGGCGGCCAGGCCTTTCGCATCATGGATGCTCATCACGATCGACATCGGGAATCGAGCCTTCACAGCTTGCTTGGCCTCGTCGCTCCAGACAAGGACAGCCTGCAGGAAGGTAGGAGCCTTAAGAATTAAGGTTGCGTTTGGGGTATTTTTATACTACCATGTTGTAGAAATATTAATAACAGGTGCTGTAAGGGGATACAAAGGTGCAAAATCCGGGGGGGGGTCCGGGGTTCAAGATCTTGGGCCAAGAGCTGCAAAGTCGATGATAGAAGGTTTGGGCCTTCCACAAGGGCTCTATGAGGCGGGACTTGGGGGACTCTGGTTAGGCTTGAGATATCGAGGTCTTGTCTGTGATATTTTCAGGGTTCCAAGCGGCCTGTTGGGCCCCAAACTCCAGGACTTGCTGCTGCTGATTCTGGTTCTGCCTGAAGATGATGTCCAAAGTCTCCTGCAAGCCCGCTTTCGTGGGTCGCTGTCAAGAACTCGCAGTATCATAGACAAAACTCAGACTCAGACTTAAGCCAATTCGTTTATTGCAAAAAGTCTCCTCAAACGGTACGCCACAGATGAACACAGGTTTGAGGGGTACATCAACCGTGGAGACCTCACGCGGCAACTGGTCGATCTTCTCTGGGAACAGCTGCACCAGGAGATCGATAATGGAGGCCGCCAGCTCCAGTATACCCCTTGTGCTGCGATGGTTGAAAGTGAGGTGATGTATGCCGGGGATGGAGCCGAACGACTGCCTAATAGCGACGGATGAAGACGAAGTCGGCCCCTCATCTTTGATTGGAGGCGGCGCAATCGAAGTCTCCTTCATGTACATGCCACAACCAGGCAGAGGGCAGCTCAGGCGGCTGCGAGCCTGCGCCCACTCAGCCTTCTTACGGCCACCAGCAGAAGCACCTTTCAAAGCATCTTCGCACTGCTTCTCCAAAGCCCTTCTGCAGGCCTCCTTGCCGCAAAGTACCTTATTGTGTGCCACAAAATGAGAGTTGCATTCCATCCTCACCCCGCCGTCTTCTGTGATTTGCTTCTTGCAGAATGAGCATGACTCCACCTCCACGTGTACCTTGTCCTCCTCCCAGTCTTTCCCGGCCAAGAACTCCTCGTAAAATAGGCGCCGGATGCTCTCAAAGCGGAAATCCACCCCTTTGCTGATCGTCTGGGCAGTGTCGCCGGCGAAAACCCAGGCTGTGTTGGACTGGCAAAACCTGAGTTGTCTTTTCAGGCCCTTGAAAAGTATTTACTATTACGGCTCTCTACAAAAATACTAGGGAAATTAAAAAGATCCCAAAGGACAACCCAGAAACAGTCGTAAGAGGAGGATCTCTGCTGGCAGTAGATCCTGAACCTCATCGACGAACACCTTGGCGACTCTGTACTGTAATATAGAGGCCTCAATAATTAGAATAGGGTTTGGGGGGGCCCTTTATACTATAACTATAATAAGGAATCCTCAAAATAGTATTGGTAATTATTCAGGCCCCTTTATTAACTCCATTTTCAGAATCTCCGTAGTGTCTTAACATGGCGACACGAGTTGAACCCAACTTCTTTACTTAGTTGCTGATTTCATAAGCCCCCAAAAGTGCACACTTTCAGTTTTTAAGTGGCTGGTATTTCACCCAAAAAGTGTAAAGTGTATCCACTCAGCTACGAAGTTCACAACCAGGCACCGCCGACAGCATGTGGAGGGCCACTGCTCTCGCGGGGCGCCGGAACTTCTTCGCCCTCTGGGTGATGCCTTACTTGGAGGGTCGGGGGACTTAGTAACTCTAAGGGGTTCCTTAAGGGCGCCTTTAAAGGGATCTAGAGGGATTCTGTAAGGGTTTAGGGCCTAGGGGACTTAGTAACTGGTGATTTTAGGGACTTGTAAGTACCATAACCCCAATTAGGGTTCCTTTTAGGGTACTACTTACTATCTACTTACTAGGTCCCCCGATCCCCCAAGTACCGAAAGGCCCCAAAGTAGTTCCTTTTTGGGGTTCGCGTGCGATGGTTAGGGTAAGGTAATCCCAAAAAGGAACTACTCTCAGGCCTTTGGGTACCGGTCAGGTACGTGTGATACATGGAATGCGCACATCATCCACGAACCGTTTCGTGTCAACGAGCCTGACTCTTCTGGGGACAGCACGATGACATCGCACATTAGCCTGGAAATCGCAAAAGAGCCTTTGCAGCTGTGATGCTTCGTACAGGGTCAACCCGATCGTACTTCGGGCAAGTTGCCTCACAGATGCTGCTGACTTGGGCGGAACGTCGGGAAACAGATGTGTGGTTCGTGTCGCATTCAATTGATATAAATTAGAAATGCAATCTGACAGCTTGCCGGCGAAACTTTCACAGCAGTCTACGCTGAGCGTGAAAGACAGCCCTCAGTCTCATCAAGTTGTTCTGTACGGCCTAAATATGGAGGCCCTCCCTGGCATTACTGTCCTACATCCAAGTGGCCCTCACCCCCTCTGCGGCCCGGCACGGAGTTGGCTAGTGGCTGGTTGCGGTGAGCAACACAAGTGACGACGACATAAGCAATCCCTTCTGCTTATTACGATGGGACTCAAATCCCTACTTGTCGGGTATCATGGGGAACTCAAGCTTAACCTTTTGGGTTGTATAGGATTATATAGGGACTAGACCGCCCCCCAAAAAAGTTAAAACGCCACGTGGAATAAGCTGCGTTGGGGTTAAAGGTTCCCTACTCTCTACTACCAGGAATCTAGCTAGACCACGACCTGCAATCCCGAAACCCTCAACACCTTCGGTTGTCAAAAACGGATTGCCGAATCCAAAGCCAACCCAAAGCCTCGACCACCCTAGGAAAGGCCGAACTGGCAGGTCCTCCAATACAAATTATCCTTCGGAGAGGCAATGGGTTAGCTGCTTATGTCGCCACCAACTGTCAACACTTAGGGCAACATCTTGTTTTGCTGGATGTAGAATCGAAGCCTCGAAACATTTAATGGGATCCTTATATAGTCCATTCTAACACTATGCCATACCCCGAAACCTTAGACCCTAGTCTATCGACTGCGGCGCACGCTTCTTGGGGTTTCTGGGTCTCAGTCTCTGCCTTGAACTTCTCGTACAACTCGAAGGCATCGTAGATTCGGGATCTCACCGACTCCTCACGACATCCAAAACCCTAAGCCTCCTTTTTTTTGCCACTGGTCTGGGGTCTAGCCAAAACCCTGAACCCTGGAAAAACATCACTCTTCTTCAGCGTTTTTGACGACTGCCAGGAATTTTAAGTACCACTTTCTAAGGAACAGAAGAAAGATGAAGCTGGGATGTATTGGAAAGCTGAGCAACCTCTTTCGATAATCATTACGACTTCACCTTCAGAACCCATCCACGACCGAAGTGCAACCCCACAAACACTTGAGGAAATGCTACAACACCCCTTTGTAAAGCCTCCGCATAGACCTGTACGAAGCCCTGTATATAACATGTCTTGAGACCCCGGGAGAAGCAAGACTCCTCTTTGATGCTGGAATCGCGGAGCTCCGCCAAACGCTCTCCTCTCACTTCGGTTTCTGAGCTCGGGGTTTAGGGCTTTCGATCTCAGCTTTAGGGTCTATGGGCTTCCCTCCTACCTAGTCGGGACAGGGTGTAGGGTTTGAGGTGTAGGGTTTTCCCTCCTACCCCAGCAAGGACAGGGTTCGGGCTTTGGGGTCTCTTCCCACGTCAGCTGACGAGGTCGCACTGCAGGGGAAACACTCATATTATTACCAAACTAGATTTGGGGCCGTTTTTGCTTCCCACTAGAGTTGGGGTCTTGAGTTTTATTTTTAAGGCTTTGGGTTCAAGGCTTCAGGTGTCGGAGCTCATCTCTTGGAGGGGTTCAGGCTTGGAGCTGTGGGTCTTGGGTTTGGTGCTTTGTAGTGTTTCGGAGGGGTGTTACCATGCTTGGTTTTACGATGTTTTACGTACGTTTTGCATTGCAGCGAAGGCGTAAGGCACGAATTACGGGTCGGGAGGTCCTCGTTCGAGGATGGACGACTACTACATGCGGTATGCGAGACTGAACAGAGAGATCCTGAAGAATCGTAGCCGGAGACATATTCCGTCCGCGTGAGGTGCCCGCCCGAAGAACGCACGGCGTGGAGGCTCCCACGGATCACAGTCATGATCTCCTCTCAGGTGATGGGGGTGTGGCATTCCGGGCTGAGTGCTGAACCCAAGAACTGTTTCGGACTGGCAGAGCACATAGCCTTCGCCATTTCAAGCATCTGACATGGCCTATAGTCTATAATTCCGGACCGCTAACTCTATAGCCCCCAACCCCTAGAACCATAGCCTCCCTGGAAGTATGCCAGGAAGCAGACAGACCCCGTGTGCGGAATGGGCTCGCGCCACTTAGGGTTACCAGAGGACAAAACTTCGAAGCCCTTGACCTGAGCAGAGCAAAGCAAGCTGCTCCGTCGCAAGTCGCTAATCTGCTAGCCCCCTACATTCTCACTCCCATGGCACCGGATGTAACAGCTTAGTAGGGTCGAAAGTGAATCTCTCTGTCTGCCCTTAGAGAAGTCTAGAGCTGGGAAAAGAAGCTCACAGGACTTGGTTCGCAAAGCAGCTTCCGGAGCTTCCAGCCTGGCATAGTGGCAGCAAGCACTGAGACTTTTCTTGGGCCTTTCATGCCTCTGCATTCCGGAAGTTCTCGCGATTCGAAATATAGAGACTGGCCTCCTCCCCCGAAGACTAAGAATGACTGAGGGAAATGCCACCGAGTTCTATGATTTCTACGATTTGACGCAAGCAACATCTCTCCTTGTAGACCACGTACAGGGAATCGCTCTTTTCCAAGCGCCCGATGAGCTTGGGGCCGCAGGTGTTTTCAAAATACTCCTTGGCGCATGTGCATGGCTCACTGCTTGCAGCGTAGGAACTTGAGCAGCTGACTACTACGACTACCACTACGACGACGGCTCCTGCCACTGCCAGTACCACTGCTACGACTACGACGATTGCCACTACCACTACCCTTACTGTCACTGCTGCTACTACTGCTGCGCTACTACTACTACTACTACTACTACTACTACTACTACTACTACTACTACTACTACTACTACTACTACTACTACTGGTGCTACTACTACTACTACTACTACTACTACTACTACTACTACTACTACTACTACTACTACTACTACTACTACTACTACTACTACTACTACTACTACTACTACTACTACTACTACTACTACTACTACTACTACTACTACTACTACTACTATACTACTACTACTACTACTACTACTACTACTACTACTACTACTACTACTACTTACTACTTCTACTTCTACTTCTACTTCTACTTCTACTACTTTACTACTACTACTACTACTACTACTACTACTACTACTACTACTACTACTACTACTACTACTACTACTACTACTACTACTACTACTGCTACTGCTACTGCTACTGCTACTGCTACTGCTACTGCTACTGCTACTGCTACTGCTACTGCTACTGCTACTTACTACTTCTACTACTACTGCTACTACTACTACTACCACTACTACTCCTGCTACTACTACTACTACTACTACTGCTACTACTACTACTACTACTACTACTACTACCTCTACGACCACGACTACTCATACTCCTACTCTTTACTCCTACTCCTGCTCCTGCTCCTGCTCCTACTGATTTTGCTGCGAATGGCACCAACTACAATAATGATGGTTTGCAGAAGTCGGGTCCGCTGATGCTGCCCTGAGCTGAGTCACCTTTCTCAAGCATGCTCGATAGCAACTCTACAATTTACAATGTGGCGCCGCTCTTGTAGTAATGACCCTAATTCGGAGAATCTCCGCATTGGTAGTAACCTTAAACCCCAAACACTAGACCCTTTGGCTAGATTTGGGCAAGGCTACGTACGTCATCTCCTCGTCGAGGAGGTAGCGCCCATCTCCAGGCAAATGGGGGAAGCGGTCCTCTTGGGAGAGTTTACGGTTTAAGGGTTTGACTTTTACGGGCTCTCCGGGGTGAGCCACAGAGTTTGCCGTGTGTTTCAGATTGAGGGCTTGGGTCTCAAAACGGTGAATTGCTTCAGATTGCGTGGTGCTGATCAGGTGTGTAAGCTCACGGGGCCAGGGGGACAAGGAATCTCAAACAGTAACAATCCTAAAACTTCTAGCTGCGCCGGAGTGCACGTAAATTAAGCTGGCACGAAATACACAAACACGTCAATATATATATATATATATATATATATATATATACACACACACATATTATGTGTATATATAGTGTATTTATACATATACACATTATATGTATGTATGTCATGTATGTATGCGTAGCATATGCCTGCTGCATCCTCCAGCTGCAACTCAACAGCAAGGTCCGTATCTGAAGCCTACACCGGCTCCTACCTCGCGACCCAACCATGCGACTCCATCGAATGCTTGGGTCTTAGGGCTTATAGGGATTATAGAGTGTATAGGGTTTAGGTTTTAATTGAGGGTTTATAGGGTTTAAAGGGTTTAGGGTTTATAGGGTTTAGGGTAGCTCCTGTGCCATCAGCGTGCCTTTCGCTTTGCGCAGGGCTCTCTCCACCTCCACAAACAGCTGCAATGCTGTGCTGCGGCATGTGCACTGACATACAGGTTTAAAGAAGCCAATCTGTAGGAAACTGAACAAGTTTCTGCCCCCTGTTGTTACCAGCATGGTTTAGCAGGGGTGCTCTGGATGTTGCATCAGTAGCAACAGCCGAGATTCGCGCAGCACACTATTTAATAGTGTGCGTATAATGGTGCTATTATACAGGATTAGAATTCGTCTGGGTCGTGGTTACGGCTGCGTCGCCTTGTAGCCTTGACCACAACGTAACGCCAACTCTAAACGGCCAGCAAATGCATCCGAATGACTCCATCATCCCAAGCCGTGAGCACAAACCAACGTAACCGAAATGCAGAGAATAAAGAATTTCTGATGCCTTATATACAACTACTACGCATTCAAGGAGCAGTCGTAGTGAGAGTAGTAGCAAAGGAGTAGTTGTACCACCAGCAGCAGTAGCAGTAGCAACGGAGAAGTCAAGGCTTGCTAGCCTTGCACAAAGGCAGCAACAATACTAACTGTGAACTTGAGCGGAGGACATGACTTTGGCTAAATGCAGGCGCTGACTGAGCCACCACCAGCACGTTCAAGTAACCGTACCCACAAACGTGGACCACCAACGCCTTTCCTTCCTCTCCGGCGCCGTGGTTGAAGAATCGGTCTCCTTTCGAAGCGCAAAGCCACTTTGATGCCACACAAAACGGTATCTACAACAAAAATAACACTAGAAACACCAACGACAGCTTAAACAAGGAGGGGCAGCAATAGCAACTTCGTCGAGGAACAGGGGATGCCAGAGCCAGCAATGCAGTGCTTCGATAGACTTAGCAACACAAACATAGCAGTGTTGATCCCCTTATTTCGGCCGACTAGCCTGAGCAGCAAACAAACACAGCTAACCATGCGCCACGGTTTTCTGACTGTGTTTTGGATTTGGGTATCCCCGAAAACCGGTACCGACTCGTTCACAACCGACTTCCCCAGGACTGGTAAACCCTAACCCTCCACACCCTAAATGTAGAGGCCTTAATAAGTAGAACAGGGTTCTAGGACCCATTCATTATACTATACTTTTAATAAGGAACACCCCAAAGTAGTATCTGTACTTATTAAGGCCCCTGTTGCAGACCCCCACGGCGTCCAGGAAGGGATGCATCGGCCGTCATCAAGAAAGAGCCCCAGCTGGCGATGAGGACCCGCTCGTCCGCATCGCAGTCTTCCTGAGACGGCCGGAGCCGACACGTTGACTGGGCTATTGCTTGGGGATTAACTTTAAGCTACCACAATCAAGAAGCCCTAGTATTAACTATAGGTCCCCAATATGATGTTTCAATTTAAGTTACCACAATAAAGAGACCCTATTATATACTATCGGTCCTTAGTATGGTAAGTTGAATGAAACTCCGTAAAAAGAGCCCAGTTAAAGGAACACCAGCGCTGCTTCAGGCCCCTCTGCGGTTTGAGTATTTTGACAGGAAGCGGAAGCATGGCAGGGATCGGGGTTCACGGTCAAGAGCTTTGGGTTTCGGGTTTAGGGTTTAGGGTTTAGGGTTTAGGGTATGAAACCGTAACACGAAGAGGCTTTACCCAAAAGCCTCCTATACGAAACCCCTGAACCCTAGAAACCTGAAACCCGCAACCAGGAAGCCCAAATCCCAGAATCCTTAGCCTCCGAACCTTGGAACAACTCTCAATGCCCCTGGAAATCTTGAGTCCTTCCGGAAGGACCGTGGCATCTTGTCGAATGCATCTGTGTCTTCCTTTGCTCATCCCAGCGAGGCTTTGTCTTGTGAGTTTGGGCGTTTGTGGGGATTACACAAGGGCTGATAGGCTTGCGTACCAGGAGTTTACTAGGGTGTCTTTGGATGCTTAGCAGGCTTCCAAAGTAGGCTTAGCTTAGGAGTAGGGCTCTGTTTGAAGAGTCTACTACTGGTAGGGTCTACTTGCTCATTATGAAGATCCTTCAAGTACAATGTTTGGAAGGCCGAAACCATTGCGTGAACATTCTGCCCAGGGCTTGTGTGCCGCGCATACGTCCGTGGAGAAGTGCTTGAAGAATCTAACGGAACTAACGATAAGAGAGTTTCCGAAAAGAGGGCACCCTCATATAGCACCCAAAAATAGTAGGATCCTTATAATAAGGACCCCAAACTAAGGCACCCCTAATTTTCGGAAACTCCCATAACTTCCCGCTCTGAATTTGGGGCTCTAGGCTTGAAGCTGCGAGAAACTTCAACTGCATACCTCTGGATCACGGGACCCCTTCTTACAAAGTGCACATAATATTCGGGCCTTAATAGTAATTAGAATAGGGTTTGGGGGCCCATTATGCTATGAACCTAATAATGAGCCCGCAAAACAGTATAGGTAAGTATTAAGGCCCCTACATTAGGTAGACTGACTAACAACCAAGGCCGAGGAGGCGCGCAGCTAGGTACTCCATCTAGTTTAGGGTTTAGGGTTTAGGGTTTAGGGTTCATCAGCTTCTTCTTTGCACTGAAAGATCGAAGCTTTAAGTCCCACATCCGAGGCTCTGTGACACCGAGCTCCACCTCCTGTGCTCCTGTCTGCGGTACTGCGCCTGATGAGCACTCATGCGACGAAATCCGTGGCTCTACGGATGCGAGAACGGACACTACGAAAGTTCTATAAGTTACATGTTAGGTTCATGGATCCTATCAGAGTTCCAAAATAAGGGTTCTTACGGGTGATTACTCCGTATCTTATGCTGTGTGCGGATATCGTGGTGGATGTCACGGCATGTAGGTTTTCCTCGCCTGGGCCCTACCTAAACAAGAACCGTTATACAAACCTCGTAGTAGCCACTGAAGTAGCCCGAACCGCTGAAACGGCCAAGGAAGCTTGGGTGTTGCAAGGGGTGAGAGCCAGCCCATGTTGCCGTTGTTAGTGTTGCTACAGCCTCGGGTTCTTTGGGCTCTGCATTCTGGTTTTACGCTCGCGCAACTCGGAACCCAGCCAGACGAGGTCTGTCGGTTCGCCGGCACACTTTGTATCGAGGTTTTGAGGATTAGGACATTAGAGAATTTTGCAGTTGCACGGGGCTCTAAATTCGCTGGCATTTTGGGTTTTAGGGATAAGGCTCCCGCATAGGACTCTGGCCATACTTTTGTGGGTGCTGTCTGTCGGCAGTTGGGGTTGGGAGTTTGCAGCAAATGCAGGGGCCCGAATTAGAACAGGTCACCCTGTTTCCAGAACCACCTTCCCACCACTGCGAATCCAGCACATAGTATATGATCACGAAGGGGTTTTGCTGTAGTTTTTCCTCCGCGACAATCCTGATGAAAACGATGGTGCGGTAGGGTAAGAAGCAGAATCCCGTACAGGGGCTACCTACTTGGAGGGTCGGGGGACTGAGTAAGTAGTTAGTAAGTAGACTTAGAAGTACCCTAAAAGGTACCCTAATTGGGGTTATGGTACTTATAAGTCCCTAAAATCACCAGTTACTAAGTCCCCCGACCCTCCAAGTGGAGATACTTAAAGATACTTGCGAGCAGGAATGGGTGTCTGAGTGCTGGCCTCCGTGAGTTGCTGTAGGGCTCTGGAGGGTCCCACACCAAAGGCAACCCTTTGTTCAAAAGCCCCCCCCAAAAGTGTACACTTTTAGTTTTATAGTGGGTAATACTGTCCCAAACAACTGTAAAGTGCGTCCACTCAGCTACTAAGCTTTATGCCTCGCACCCAGTTTGTCGACATGCTCGTTGCCTTCACCACCGGCCGCTCGAAGGGCTGAAAGGGCTGCACACATCTGCTGGAAACACCTCTGGATCGCTGATGCCAGCAGCGGAGAGCCTCCGGTGAGGTCATTGAATGAAAGCGCGGCTTGCCGCGATCATCTTGGTTGTCATCACTTGTGCAATGGTGATCATCGCCATCATCATCATGATTATCGTCATGAGCAGCAGCAACATCATCATGGGCAGCAGCAGCGTCATCATCGCTGCAGCATCAGCATCGCCGTCATCATCAACAGCAGACCCATCATCAACACCATCATCGCCATGATCATCATCATCGTCATCGCCGTGAGGATCATCATCACCAGAATCGTTATCATCTACTGCTGCTTCTTCCTGTCACCGCTGCAAGAACGACGACGACTACTACTGCGCATACCTGCACGAGTTCAACTAGTGAAAAAGAACACTGCACGGAATGATGCGGGCTTCGCAAGCACATATTCCATTGCCTGCACTGCTTCCCTGAAGTAGTTGTGTGCGGCTATCCATGCACTTTTGCTGAAACTGGTCACTGCAGATGCAGCCAAAGCACGTGTAACCAGCATCACGGGGCCCGCCTTTTCAGCCGCATCTTCGAACCACGCCAACGGGGCTTTGTGCCAGCAATACAGCGCGTGCGTCTGCACGCTTGTCTTCCCACTGCCAGAGCGGCCCAGGAGGAACAAAGGCTCGTGGATAACCTTGTGCAAGGCCGCCTCCTCATCAGAGTCCAGCACATATGGTAGCTGCAGGCTCCGGAGGCTGTGCTCCTTCAACATCTTCAGATGAATATCCGTGATCCTGTGGCGCTTCTGAAGGGAGATGGGGCGCCTACCACTGCTTCCCATGACCTCGGCTATGTTCCGGCGGAGGCGGAAGGATCTTGGTAGCGTCACCGTCCTTAGCTGCAAATTGTGGACTTTCTGTGAAGGGCCCCCGCTGAAAGTCCTGAAATTTCATGGTTCAGGTTCCCCAAAGGGTCCAAGTATCATTATGGCATATACTGAGACCCCCACAAAATACCCTATAAGTATATACCATAATGATACTTGGATCCCCTTGGGATCTTCGGGAAAGCGTTGCTCTTCTGGGCTTACGAGCCCGTTCCCTTCGAGGTAAGCCGACATTAAAGTTAGGTTCCAAGTTCCTTAAGCCCGACACCAATTCCTAAACCCTGAACGTTCGAATTACAACGACCATTGCTCCTCCGTGCCCGGCTGAGGATTGCAGGTTACAGGGCTGGAACCATCAACATGTAGGGTTTGGCGTGGAAGCTTTAGCTGCAGAGAGATTCCACGAAGCCCTATGCCACAGGCTTGATACCCTGATCCACAACCCTAAACCCTAAACCCTCCCGACAGCATTGAACTGCCAACGATGACATGAGGTTTGACGTTTGACAGCATTTTTCGGGGTTCGCAACCCTACACCCTCAGTCCTAAACCCTAAACGAACTGCTTGAGCCCCTAAACCCTGAACTCTGAAACCTGAACCTTGGACCCACCAAAGACCTCCAACTTTGGCACCCAACTGAAACTCGACTCGGATCATAAGCATCCATGGCCTTGCATTAACTCTTAGGTGTGGGGTGCTTTCGCCTGCGACACTATCCTCAGGCATTCAACCCAGGACTCTAAGGCATCGAACTCATAAATCAATCTTTCAAGGCTCATGGGCCAAGCACCTTGCCACAGAGGGTTTCTGAGCTACTTGTAGCATCAAAAGCGGCTGGGTGACCTTGGCTTGACTTTGCCATCGACGTCCCGGGACAGGGCCAAGCTCAAGGCATCGTCCGAGAATGTCCGCAGGAAAGTCTCCGCCGCCTCGTTTGCAGTTTCGGACTCTGGTCACTCGTATTTGGGTTCTAAGGTTTAGGGTGTGGGCTTCAGGTGGGTCTTAGGCTTTGAGAAATGCATCTGCTGCCCGTCGACGCGGACGTCTGGTTCGGTGGTCTGCCCTAAACCCTTTTTTGAGCAGGGAGCGCAAGGTACTAAGCCCTAAACCCTTTTTTGCATCTTGCATCAGGACTTGTGCAATCGCCTGAACACATGGACGGAAGGTCAGCACTCCTGACTGCACTTCCATACCTTGCTCAAGAAACTAGGGACGACATCAAGTCCTGGGTACATCAATGGTTGGTACTAAGCCCTAAACCCCTAAACCGTTTAGGGATTAGGAGTAAGAGGACCCCGAATCCTAAGTCACCTGCCTCCTGTGCGTCCTTCAGATCACCAGCCTTGCACAGCCGGGAGATCACCACGACCTCACGGTCTGGCTTTGAGGGATAATTCATCAGGAGACAAATCCAAATACAGAATACAACTATGTATGTACATATATATATATATATAATAATAATAATAGTAAGAATAATAATAATAATAATAAGAAGAAGAATAAGAATAATAAGAATAATAAGAATAAGAATAATAATAATAATAATCATAATAATAATAATAGTAATCATAATAATAATCATCATAATAATAATAATAAGAATAAGAATAATCAGAATAAGAATAAGAATAATAATAATAATAATCATAATAATAATAATAATACTAATCATCATAATAGTAATAATAATAATAATAATAGTAATAATAATAATAGTAATAATAATAATAATAATAATAATAATAATAATAATAATAATAATCGTAATAATAATAATAACAATAATAATAATATAATAATAATACTAATAATACTAATAATAATAATAATAATAACCCTAAACCCACGCGTCTAGGGCTTACCCCTGAACCTTACTGTAGACCTTCCGTCGGATGACTTGCTCCGCTGTGCTGCCCTCGGGTCGTAGTTGCACCCACCAGACCTCAGGAAGCGGCTTACTCTAGGGGCCACACATGGCTCCGGATTCCGTTCAGGGGTTTTCTGTAGAATTCGTATTCAGAATCTGGCCGTGAGATCCGTTACAGCTAGTGTGGGTTTATGGGGACTGTACGAAGATGCGTTTATATATACATTCCGAACTAAACTGCAGTGTTAGGTATTCGTTTCTTAATGTTTGCCAGGGCGAATGTGTAAGTGCTGATGTGGGTTGTGCTTGGGCTGGGGTTGTAGTCTTATGTTTAACATATTTCTTTTCGCTTTCCTGTGCTAGTGCTTAAGGTTTATGTCTTCGGGACTGAGGTTTGAGTTTGAGAATTCAACCGGGGCTCCGCTCAGTTAGAAGTACCCTCTAAGCAGTTAAAGGGGTGGTCAACAGGATTTACGGGATGCGGCCTAACCCACAGGCTCCATATATAGTACCATTATGGAATTGAGACCCGAAAGACCATCCATATCATGGCTTTGAGGACCTAATTCCATAATGGTACTATATGTGGAGCCTCTAGGTAACCAACGAGTTTGGAGCTTTGTGGGCTTACCGTAAGGCTCTATGTGTGTCTTGGATGTGGGGGGCCTTGGGTTTCTACCTGGATCCTAAAATAACCTGCTCCTTATTGAAACTTGCTGACACAGGTCCTTACAAAGGTAGGTTCTTAGGGTCCAGGTAGAAGTTAATGACCCTAAACCCTAAACCCTAAACCCTAAACCCTAAAGGTTTAGAGGTGCAGGGCTTCACACTACAATCGCAGAATGTGGGAGACCTATGCAGAACTTGAATGCCCCAACGGAAGGCCGACGAAGGGATCGGTGCCGCAATGAACTGGAGGACAGGCAAGCTATGTGGAATGTGCAAGGCGACGGACACGTGGCGAACCAGAAAGCTGCATACCACGAAACCCAAACAAGGAAATTGAGACAAGAAGAGACCGCGAACCAGAACATCACAGGGCCCAATGGCGGGGAATGGAAAAAGCTTTCGACCCATCCCACAACGGATCTGTTTGTATGCTCTGTCCAGACCGTGATTTGAAGCGGCGGCTGCTGCATGAAGGGAAAACCTAAACCGATGCAACAAATGCTCAGCACTGTGCTGATTTTTATACAGATACTCATACACAATCATACATATATATATATATATGTATATATGTATATGTATACACACATACATACATCTACTTGTGTATCTGAATACATCACTATTTAATGAATATTTGTATACTACATACTACCTTCCAGAATCTTGTAGGAACCTTAGAGGACCTCTAAACTGGACCCGGGCCAGGTCTACACAAGCAGGGCGGTAGTGGCGTTCTAAGCTTCAAACTTCAGGGTTTGGGTTTAGGGTTTAGGGTTTAGGGTTAAGGGTGTCAAAAAGCAAAAAAACGTGTACTGAAACACGTCATGGCAGCCAAAAAAGCACCGTTGGTCACCTTCGTGGCCTGCGAACATTGCGCTGTTGGGACCGTCCGGCGTGACAGGCTCCAGAGACCGTAAACTATCTAAGCTCTGCGTAAGCTCTGCGGGCAATCGCTCAACACTGACGAGCAGCTACTCAGTCTTAACACCAACGGTGCATGTGTGAGGAATCCGGGATTCACAGTCCCTGCTTCGAGGCCTGGGAGGCTGATATGGTTTGTTTTGTCGGGCTTCTCAATTTGGAGGTCCGTGTTGTAGCGATCTTACTGCTTACGGTCTGTATGAACTTCTGAACTTCAAGCTGGTTCCACCAGCCTCAACGCTCAGCTTCCACAACTCCGGATGTCTCGGTGGAGGATCCGGCCGCACATTCCACTCACGAAGCCGTCCCGTGACGATGTGTCGAACAACATCGCACACCTGAGCTGGACTGCATCCGCTCTTGCCCTTACGCCATGATGTCACTCAACTTCCGGTTCTGAGTTCAACCGTTCAGCCACCCCCAGGACCGTCGGGACCTTAGGGGTTGAGAAGCGCTCAACCGCCCTGCGATGCGCACCTTGCCCCGTGCTTCTGTTTTCAGCGGGGCCAGGTCGTCCAAAAACATGGCCAACGCTTCCTCGGCCGTATTAAGGGGCTGAGTGCTGAGGTTCCATTTACTTTTTGTCAAGTGTACTTCTAGACCAGTTCTCGAACAAACCGATCTGCCATGTCTAACGTAATTTTCCTGTTTGCATACTCGCATACAACGACATTTGTTACATGTGTGGTCGCCGTGAGTCATCCTAAACCCTTCACCCTTTTGTCTTAAACCCTTACTACCGACCTTGACCCATGAGCCCATGAACCATGAGCCATAATGTGTTTATATGTGCGAAAACACAAGGCAACTCCGGCAGAGAGCTTGGACAACCCCCCCCCCCCCCCCCAATGCCCTGAACAGAAACATGAAGCTAGCCCCAGCTACTTTGGCTCAGGGCTGAAGGCTTAGAGCAATTACCCAGTTCCTACCCAGGGGCCCCAAAGTAGTTCCTTTTTGGGTGGGTCCTCTTTTTTGCTTGGGGACTCTAATATACTACCCAAAAAGGAACTACTTTGGGGCTCCTGGGCAGTTCCTACTTTCGAAGATTCAATTGCGTTCTTTGTCCCCCAGGCTGGCCACAGCTAGTAAACTTCAAGGTTGTGTGTCCTCGCAGCGTCCTCTTCACCAGCAACATAAAACGCCCCTTGACGGAATGAATCTTCTACAAGAACTGGTTCGAAGGTATTTGGTTCATAATCCCAACGGGTCTAAGTATCATTATGGTATATACTCAGACCCCCCTAAATACCCTAGAAGTATATACCATAATGATACTTGGATCCTTTGGGAACAAGGACCCTGTGGGGGACTCCAATTTGCCGCAATGTAGGGCCCAAAAAGCACATAAGCATAAGCATTGTATGGGGATATCCCTACCTTATTGGGCTTCATTATAAGGGTGTTTGTATGGGATATCCCGAAGCTGGTTGTTGCTTATGTGCTTTTTTGGGGCCCTAAGCAACCCCAAATTCGATGAGGACTGCTCTTGGCGAGCAGCGCATTGCCAGAGCAGAGCTGTGGTCACGCCCACCTTCAATGCCGGCTCAGCGCAAGCCGGGGGAGAGAGGATGGTTAGGATTCTGTAGGATTACCCATAGGCCCTGGAGGTTGCTATTTAGAATCCTATAGGGTAACTCCAAAAAGGAGCTACTTTGAAGCCCATGGGTAGATTCGATTTCGGAGATGTGCGCGGCATAGTTGGGACTTCAGCAAGTCGTAGCTTGTTCTTCTTGCTACCGAGGTGCCAAGCCCCTGTGCAGACAGTGAAGCAGCGATCGAAGCCCTAAACCGCTACCTAGACCCCAAAAGTAGGTAAATAATGACCCAAATCCTATAAAAAGCCTTTATTCTACATACTTTTGGGGTCCAGGTACTCTGACATCAACCCTCACCTAGAACCCATCTGCGAGCGCTGCACGGTTTACTGTTCTTTCCAACAACGATAAGATTCAACCCATGACGGGAAGCGGTTTCAGCGCCGTTTCTTAATGTCTCGGGCCACCCGCCGCTCTCCCTCTCTTTCTCTACCTTTTTTGCATAGATCTCTAGATAGGTAGCTAGATGTAAACAGGTATAAGGTGTATGTTCATAAACCTTCAGGCAATTAGAGGGCGGCGGCTGGGAAGTCTTGCTACGTGCCTCTTCTTCTGTGAAGATCTCATGGAGATGCGCCGCCATGGAGCTTCAGAAAGAAGGCAGAATCGCGAAAGCTCTGGGCCTCTGACAAAGTAAGCGGCTGCAGACAGGTTCATGGTTTAGGGATTGGGTTTTCGGCATTCAGGGCTATAGGGTTTAGGGGTTTAGGGTTGGTGTTGCGGCAGGTGACCCGAGAGGTTTGCAAGGCCACCCAAACCACAGCCTAAAACCGCACACTTGAAATGGGCTTTTGGGGTTGAGTTTAGCGCTTAAATAGAACAGGTAAGCTTTTTAACATGATGTCAGGCAGAAAACTCAGAAATAGAAGGCTAGCTCGGGCTTCGGGCACGCAGGGACTCAAGTCAAGGGTAGTTTAGCGTTCGGAGTTTCAACTGTTGAAGCTCCGGTCGGCAGGTGTCCACACCTGTCACAAGAGCAAAACACATCTTTTTCGAACAGGCACCAATTGTGTACAGCTCAGGGCCATGGAGAATTCTGAAGCTATCTTTGTGAGGCCTCCAACAGCCTTTGCGGAAGCGAGGGTCGTTGAACTACAATCGGGGCCTTAATAGCTAGAAGCGGATTGTGGCAGCATTTGATGATGTACTTCCAACAAGGAAACATCAGCAAAAACCTCAGGAATCTATATGGGAGTTTCCGAAAATAGAGGACCCTAATACAGTACCCTGAATAATAGGATCCTTATGAGGACCCCATAAGGTACCCCTAATTTTCGGAAACGCCCATATAGGCCTTTTTCCAATCCAAGGCCAGGAGAAGAGCTCAAGTGGCAGAGGCTTTACCTTAATCCACCCAAAGTCTACTTTTTTGTAGTGTCCCTTTGTTGGAGTCAGGGGTTGGGGCGACTCTGTAAATTCCATATTAGGGCCTATAATTCGAACATACAAAAGTAGGTGGTAGTCTGAGATAGGGTTTATTATGGTTGTGGAGCAGCAAATCTTTTTGTGGCCTCGCGCTCAGCAGGAACAGCGCAATCCCGATGCAGCAGGAATCTACTTGAAAAAATATCGCCCGTGGTCCCTGAGTAAATGTGCAGGAGTACGTTTGTCTCCAAAGGCCTTTCCATCACTTGTCCTAGCCCCTAAACCCTAAAGATATAACTTGACTTGGGATTTAAGGCTCGAGGCTCAAACATTGAGGAGTCAAGGTGCCGGGTTGCAGGAGCGGGGTTCAGGGTTTAGGGTTATTGGGTTTAGGGTATGGGGCTTTAGGACTTAGGGTTTTAATGTTTAGGCTTTACGGCTTTAGGGTTTAGGGCTTTTGGGTTTAAGCTTTTCGGTTTACGGGGTGTGTTCGGACCTCTGAAACGGGGGATGCTGAAACGTCGTGCATCTGCGGCAGGGCGAGACAGAGGTTCCCTAGGAGTTCCCTTTGTTTTCAGGGACGTCTCGGGCCTCAGGCTTGACTGCTTCTGGGTGACGACGGTTGATGATCTAAATCCTGCATTACCTTAAGGACCCTCAACTATGGGAATTATGGCATAAATATCTTATTATGGGTAATGCGGGATTTACATCATCAACAGCAAGGTCTGGGGTTTTGAGGAAGTCTAAAACTTGTATCTTTTAGTCCAAGATTTCGGGTTTCACTTTTGCAGATTTCAACGGACGTCTGGAGTGCAGTTGCTTTCAGCTCATCCAGCCTGCTTTTCATGCAAAGGTCAGTGCCGAAAAGAAGTAATTTCACACAGGCTTGACTGGAACTCCCCTAAACCACTGAAGCACAAAACCATGTGACCTCGAGACCCTGGTACTCCTACGCTCTGAAACGTTGATCTCTGAAATCTCTCTGAATCTCCTCTTGTTGCGAGGGACCGCGAGGCACAACCATGTGGATGGGAAGTTGTCAAAACGAAGTCCCGTCTTGATGTGGTGTCATACTAAGTATAAGACTTAGGATCTAGCCTACTCCGAACCGCTTGGTAGTCTGTAACCGCGCGAAAGGCATACAAGTTTCCAGTATGCCGAGCGGGGCCATCATTTTCACAGCTGCCTAGACGTGATTACTTCGAGGCTCAGGGTACTCTTTGCATAGGGTTTAGGGCTTAAGTTTAGGCCTTAGGGTTTAGGGTTTACTATTGCACCCCAGTCCAGCCATCGGAAAATGCTGAAAGCCCCCCTGGTACAGAAACTGATGACTGATTCGCCGGAAAGTCCACAGAGCCCACACTTCGCAAGCATTACGTCCGAACCCTCAAAAAGAGGCTTGATATGGAAGTTTCCGAAAATAGGGGACCGTGATATAGTTCCCTAAATAGTAGGATCCTTGTTATAAGGACCGCAAAATAAGCTACCCCGAATATTCGGAAACTTTAAACCCCTTCTAGAGCCCGTTAAAGGAACCCATATAGTAAGGGAAACTCCCTATCGAGATAGTATCCGAAGCTGCAATGAGGTGGAAACGAGCCCTTGCGATCGAGTCGACTAAGCTCTGCGACAATGCATGATGGGTTCTCAAAGCAGCATTAACATGGGTGCTTGTCAAAATTAGGGTCCCCTTTTGGGTCCCCATTATAATACGGCACCTATTATTTAGGGTACCCAAACAGGGACCTCAATTTTGATAACTACTATGATAGCTTCCCACATAGAGGCCTCAACACTTGGAACAGTTAGCTCTTGTGATCTGGCTCTCCTGTTGCTATGCTTGGGGCTAATAGAAGGATGTCGGTTGTACGTAAATGCTCAAAAGTAGGCAAAAAATGGCCCACAACCTATAAAAGGCTATTATTGTACATAGTTTTGGGGTCCAGGTATTGCTTATCCAAACCCCTGTGGTACCCTGATCCTCGAAGTTTCCCACTGCGAAGCTTCCCCTCGCAGCCCCAGGCTGCCAGGGGGCGCGAGCGCAAAACTTGACTGCCACCAGCAAGCTCACGTTGTTTGGCAGAGTTGAGGGGTTTCGTTAAGTCCTTTCGCGACCAACCGGTAATTAAGTTGAAAGATTGTTAGTTCATGCTATGTCAGTTTTCGGAAACAGGTGGCGAAACCTACCATTTCAGGCGAATGCTGTGGCTTTAGGATCTAGGGCTAGTGTATCTAGGGTTTTGGCTGCATCTGGGTGGGTGGATGTAAACCGTAAACGGCGTCACCCCCAAAGGCCAACGCTATTGAACATATGACTCGATCTCGGGGAAGGGCAGTGTCTTGAGGCGACCTGCTTGGTGGCTTCCCCCGACCGTGCCCTTTGCGTGCATCGCCCCTCAGCTTTCCGTTGCCATCTAAACCTACTATGAGATACGAGAAACCCGAAAAGTGAAACCTAATTAACCTCGAAATGTCAATGAACGTTCAACCGAAGGTGGAAAACAGTCTTGCTAAACAAACTGTCTCCAAGGCATAAGCACAGGATCGGGGTAGCAAAGCGTG